GGAGATCAAAAATCGTTTTAATAAGAAGTAGACATGCTTTTAAAAAATAATTAAGATAAAATGATAACATTTTTATTTAAACAGTAAGATTGTATTGTTGAATATAAATATTGATCTAAAGTATATACTATATAACAATAAGTTTTATACAAAAAATATAAAATTTTTAATTTCATTTCAATCAATTCTTGCAGAGATTATACATCTGATACGATTTTAATATATCCAATATTATATTATTACGATATTTCTTTTTTATTCTTCGGATATACAACCATCCATATGATTTCTCTTGATTTTCTACAAATGTAAGTTTAAATACAAATATTAGTTTGCAAAAAATATTTTCGATAATCAATACATATACAAAAAGAACGGTTTGCTGAAGTATTTAAAAATTCAGCTAGATGCAGATTTGAAAATAATTTTTTGTTGGGTTATCAAAATGATTACATAGATAGGAAATTACAAGCATGATAGATCTCTCTAAATCTGAATCAGTGGATAATCACTGTAATGATATCAGTGCCAAATATGCCACTGGTAATCAGTGAATTAAATGTGAGACACTTAACCTAGTTAATTTTTATTATGCGATCTAACTGACCTTGTTTTATCGCTTAAATTCAATGATGGTATTGAAAGATTGAAATTAACGTGCAAATATCAGTATTATATAATATAATGCTCAAACATTCTGCCTTTTTTTATTGAACTTTACTGATTATCAGTGCCAAGTATACCACTGGGTAATTAATAACTATCCACTGATTCAGATTTAGACAATAAACAATCTGCAAGAAGCTTTGACGTTCTAACAATCAGTTTAACCGTCTTACATAATTATTTTGATAACAAAATTATTTTCAGATTTGAATCTAGCTAAATTTTTTAATACTTGAATAAAAAATTTATTTTCCCATGTATTTCTAATCTCCTTTCTTAAACTAGAATGTTAAAGGTATTGATGAGCGGGGCGTATAGTTCGCTTATAGTTTCAGACAAAAGTACGTCGATAAAAATTGTAACAACAAATACTAACGAGACGGAACAAAGTTGTCGTTGGAGCTACTTTCGTATTATTAATCGCATCGGGGAATAGAAGGAGCCTTTGAATAGACGTTCCCAGAGCTGTTATCGCCCTAATCGAAAGACGTTATCCAAGAAGAAGTTCATATATGTGATTTATATATATATATATATACGTACACGTTTGCGGGAACTGGTGCATCCTTAAGCAGCGAGTATCAGGAAAAGAGCAAGATGAAAAATCGCGTGGCGGCTTACAGGCGGTAATAAATGTTTCGCGGCTCATAAAAATGTTATTGCCTTCTGTACGGCGCGATACCAGAAGACAGTACGCGAAAGTAAAAGGGGAACGACTGAGGTGATAGAGAGACACTCGAGCCAGAACCTGGCGAATCCATTCGTAGTTGTGCACCGATATCGCGGCAGATCCGCGTCGTGGAATAGTGACGTAATGAATTATGAAAAGCAACTTGAAAAAAAGCTATTTCACATTAGTCATAGGATGGCAGAATCTTTATGCATAATTATGTCGGCACATTTTTTTACATTTTTCTTCTTTAATATCAAATGACTTCTTTTTTATAAACATGGGGTATTATTTCATAAATTATTCACGGTACAAATTTTGGGATTGTGATTAGTTAGAGTCGTACATGTTTTCGGATGTATCGACAGGCAACCACTCTTATTCATTTAACTTTGTGTTAAGTTGAAGTACACTGAAAAAAAGCCTGAAACTATAGCTGCGCGTGTACAACGAACTTGAACGGTGAATAATTCAGAGATGGGATGTAAAAATCGACTTATTCTATGACTACATGGAAAGAACGATTTTTTGCTAGTAAAAATTTAGATAGATACAGATTTAAAAATAATTTTATTGGACAATTAAAATAATTACGTAGGAAACTTGAGAATAATGAGCAAGGCTGTAAAAAATTTTGACACTCCGGCAACCGAATTTGAGCGTCCTACATAATTATTTTGTCCAACAAAACTATTTTCTTTGTATCTAGCTATATTTGTAGATATTTCAGCAAAATTGTTCTTTCTGTGTAGGAATCATTTCTTTCCTGGTTATTCAGCTCATTACTTCGAACTCGGTATGCGTATAAGCACATTGATCGGACTTGACGATACGTGAACTAGACTTTGATTTAAACGTATGTAAGAGAAGTCGGCTTGGAATATCATGAAAAAGAACTGGAACGAATAAATGACACACCTTCTGTGCATGTAACTCGAGAAATGGCATTCGTCATCGCGAGGCTAGTGTATTATCACGTTTGGAAGACAAATAGAATGACAATGCCAGACGGAAGTGAAAGATCCAGGAAGTGTTACGCCTGCAGTATTACGATAATGTAATATATAAACGTTGTATAGATTGTGTGCAAAGCAGTGCAAATATATTTTGTTCACGGTTGAATCTTATCTTTAAATATATCAATGAATTGTTCCTTATTAAATTAACATTTACAAAGCTTTAATCACATATTTTTCCGGAATTCAGCAATATATTGAGAAGCAAATTAAGAAAAATCACGTGTACATAAAAAATATGCACATATATAAATAAATTAATAATAAAAGGAGATATGTTTGATTTTAGTCGATTATCGTAAATTTGATAAAATAGAGAGGAAAAATTAAAAGAGCCGTGAAAATTAAAAAAGAAAAATTGAAAATTACATAAATAAATTGGATAAAAGTATCATAAATGACTATTAATGAGATCCACCTGGAAAGAAGAAAGTTGCTTGCGAAAAGCAAGACGTTATACCGCGCACGTATTTTTATTCTGATGTAACGCTCCCTCTTACGCGCGGAGCGGCTCCGCTAATATCGCCGTATAATCTGTCGCCGTTCCGAATAAATAACCCGCGGTGTGGCTAATAAAATTTTAACCGCTTGCGAAATTTTGTCGAACACGTCGTCTTAGCGCATCGCTTCTTCGCGCGGCAGAAGATTCCCGGCGGATGCGTTTTTCACGGTGGCACCGGGATACTGTCTATATAAAGACACATAGCCGAGCAAAGCAGGAGGCGGCACAGCGTGCACCGTGGCGTCGCTTCATTTGTCTTTATATTAACGCCGCTGTGTAACGCCGTAACGGCGTTATGACGACAACACAACGGGGTAGCGTCGGCATCTAACACCGCCGTGAAACAACTTTTTACCCCTCCCAGCGTTCTCTCGCGGCCCTTTTTTCGCCTCTTTATATAAACGCGCTGCCGTTTTACGAGGGACGAAGGCAGCGAGAACTGCCCCTGATTCCAAATTATTACTCCTGCGAACGTCGCCAGGGGTTGCGTCTCTCGGTAAATTGCGTTTTCGCTGATATGGAAGATGCGTGATGATCGTGATCGAAGATAAAGTCAGGAAAGTGTTATATTTATTTATGTGTTTTATTAGAAAAAGAAGGTAAACTTTCTCTCACGTTGAATTGATTGTAGCGAAAAGAAATTAAACAAAGAAAATAATTCGTGAGAGAAACAAGAAAATGATTATAAATTTTTTTCTGTCATTTAAAAAAAAATAAAATAATGTTTTATATATATGAAGAATATTGAGAATTTAGGAGCCGTACACAGAGAATGGTTATTCTAGCACTTTCAGCGTCTCGCATAATTACTTTAATAATCCGAACACAACTATTTTCCGATCTAGATGTATTATTTATACACTGAGGAAAAATGTACTAATTGTAAGTTTTAATAAATATTTATTTGATTGTTATTATACTTACAGTAAATAAATATATTTATTAAAATACGTTAGTGTAGCTAAATTTTTAGATAGTTGAGCAAAAAACCGTTCTTTCCGGTAAAGTAAAATTAAACTCGTTGCCAATGTATTATTAAAAGATTAAATGAAATCAAGTCGCAATCTCTAAAAGCGATACGGCATGGTGTTACGTAAAATCTCGGACGGTCCCCCAAGTGCATTAGCGCGATAATTGCAAGTCGAACTTCCTAGTGCATATTCGTGTTGCTCGTGGACGAACTTTCAGATCTATAATAGAGATGGGTGTCGAAGGGGAAGGGATGCCACCTTTTCGCGTCTCGATACAGCACGGCGACGACGTGGTACGTCGATATCTCGATGTAGGTACATACCGACCTACAGGTAACTTGCAACAGCGCGGCGAATAAAGTTTTCCACCGCGTTCTCGTATATATATGTATAAAGTAATACCGATACGCGTAGGTCGAAGGTTCCTTTCCTCCTCTTCGAGAATGTAGGAGGCGGTATTGGATGGTCGATCCCAGGGGGTTAATTCCAAGCCAAAGGGCGGAAAATATTCACGGTTCCTTAAAATCCGACGAGCCTGTCTCTTACGAGCTTCCTCCGGGGTGGCGTTACGCCAAACGGTCACTCAAAATACCAAGGAACCCCTGTCGTCCATTTTCCACTTGCCTACGGCAATCGTCCCTTAATCCGTACTGAGGTACGTGGGATACAGATAGACGAAACCCTCCTGCTGAATAGGCACCACCGCTCAGACGACTCTTTCTAAATGTTATACGATACTTTCTCTGTAACTTAATAGTCTCTCTACAGTGACGCACTTGTTTCTGATTGCAGTCGATCCGCTGCACGGTGAACGGCTGCTCTTGCGATTCTTTCACACCCGGGAAACGTCATCTGCGCTACTGCGAGAACTGTCATCATGGATGGGTGCCTCACGGTAAGTCCAGGCGTATTTTTACATAATCACCGAGCGTTTCGCGATATCGAAACTCGCACGTTTCGAGCGCACTTGTGAAAAAAAAATAAATAAATAAAGAGGGAATAAGGTGATGGGAAAAAAAAAATAAAATAAAATAAGAGAGAAAACGCTGGCGGGAAAGATTTTCCCGGGGATATGTTCGTTTGGTGTCGCGTGCGCGCGGTTAAACGCAAATTTTCCAACTGTCAGCATACTTCATCCGACGGGCCCTCAGGGACGAAATTCAATTTTCCAACGATGACCGCCGCCCAACCCTCGTTGGGCATCGCCACCCCTTTGCACAATAGACAGAAGCGCGCGCGCCTATCTTCGCGTGTATTCGACGGTATAAGACATCGGGGATACTTTATGCCCTCGTAAGTTTCTGAATGCGAGGAGGTGATCCGGGGTGGGGGGGGGGAGGGCGGCCACTGTGTTTCGCACAGTTTCATCGTCTGCGGCTATTTCGACACCCGCGCACGCGATACGCACGTACGTACACCCGCGCATACGTCAAACCGCGCTTAAAATTCCGCCTGCTTGACCCACGATAGATTGGACGCGGCACGGTATGGAATACATATCAATTTCGGGCTTCTCCTTCTCCGCCCGATCCCGCGGGAACGCAGTTGCACACGCGCTCTCTTTTTGTCTTTTTTTTTTTTTTATCACCCGGTTTTCTGTCCGGTTTCGACTCTCCACGTTACGTCGGGACGAAAGGTGTCGCGATCTCGCACGTATTTCGTTGCGCGAAAAGGCACACTTGCGTTACGAGCGGCGTACGTAGTAATTATCCTCGCGGATTGCCGGCTTCGCGAATGCTCGTCGAAGGCGGATTAGAGTGATTAACAAACGTGTTAAAGTATAAAACGCGAGCGAGGTGCGTAATTAACGGGATAATCGGGCACTCGAACGCTCGTTGGCCGCTCGCCGATTAGCGGAGTTTCGCATAAATTTTTGCAGCGCGCGCTTTTTAGTTTGCGCGCAACCAATTAGCCATTAAAGACTAGTAGAGACCTTGTTATTTTTACGTGGCATTGGAGAGATACGAATATCGAGGAAAGAGTAACGGATTTGTTACTATTGTTGTTTCATATATACTCGTTTTGAAAATATCGTATATCAATGTGGAGCTGTTGGCATTTTAAAACAGAAATTTTCATAAACTTACTTCAATATTGAATATCATAACAAATATCGAAAACAAATTCATTGTTCACATAATTATTATTCATATATTTACATTTTTACTGTATCATTAGGAAAAATATCAGTTTCTTCGGTATATACCAATAATTCTGTACAAGTTCGTGCATTATAAATCAGTTATACATCCTTGTATGTCAATTCAAAATTATCGATGTAAAGATGATGACTGTAATGGCCGGAATCAGTTTCGAAAACGCGTACGTAGTTGTTTTCTCTTTCGATGTGGCCGTTTGAACGGCTTAAATTAGAAATCTCCTGGCCTATCGTCATTCTTTGTTTCAAACCGGTTTCGCGGACGAGAGAAAACGAACTCGTCATTATTGATCCGTCAGTGATTAGGATAATAATCTGTACTGATATACGTTCCTGGCGGTAAAAGTCGGATAACGTGCATAACGGCAAAATTATTGTCGAGATAATGAATATAATTAATTAGATTACGTTTTGGATATATGCGACACAGAAGGATATATGCGTACAGAAAGATACTATCGCAACACAGCGTGGTTATGTTTTTTTTTCCAACAGATAATTGTTAAAAACATTTTCTCAATTAATAACGTATAATAGGCGTTAGAAATTATAAACACCTCATCTTCCTCTACACGAAACGTCGTACATATAGAAATTACAAATGTTTTATACTCTAAATATTTAACGAAATATCTAACTTGATTTGATTTAATTTGGCCAAGGTTCTCAACGTCGCACAACCGGAGAGATTTAATTTACAATCGGATTTGATTTAATTTTTAATTTCACATTGAAGACTCAACGCATGACGAAGGAACTATAATAAGTAGAGCATCGTTAGCTGCCACCGAAGGTGCGGCGATGCGCGAGCGCCACGAGACCGTGAACGAAATCGCGAGTAGTACACTGACAAAGGCCTTTTTAAATTGTAATGAGCTGCCAAAGAGTGAATTATGTGCCGTCCAAGTGCCATCGAGTCCTCGAGAGATGGGCGAACCCCATCCTATAAAACCCCGTCGTACACGCGTATGTGTATATCCCGGCATCCCTGTGGCCGCCGCTCGGCCACCCCACGTCATGAATATATTTACATTGATCGGCCGTCTCGGCATTTTTCATTTCGTTCGTCGTTGTGTTCGGACGAGCCGAAGTGTGTCCATCCCTTCGATACTTTATTTATATCGACGGGACGGGACGTGTCTGTCTTTTCTTCATGCAGTTTTCATCGCACGGGCACTCGCGTATGAGCGATGAATCCGGCCCGACGCTAATGATCCTTTCGTCCTTGCCCGGAAATCCCTGGAGTTTAACAAGATGGCTTCCTGGGCCGCTCCGTGCTCGCGAGATGCGTATCGCATGAGTTCCTATTGGAGTTTATTGGTTTCGAGAGAGAGAGGAAGAGGAAGGGAGTTTGCTTCGAACGTGAAGTTATATTTATAATGCGTATCTTTTTCTACCCGAGTTTCTACCCGAAAGAGACAGTGTTTCGTTAACATATCTAAAAATTTCATTAGACACAGATTTGAAAATCATTTTGGATCATCCAAATAATTATGTAGTACATTGATTTTGCAGCATTGTTCAACACGTTTGAGATTCATTATTCTGAAGTTTCAACGAATTGATTTTCAAATCAATATCTAAATTTTTCGATATTTTAGCAAAACCATTTTTTTGTGTCCGTATGATATATTTCAATTTCGATCACTTCATATCTCAAGGAATGATGTGAAGGAATGATATCGTCTAAAAAAATAATTTCCCTCGTGAAAAAATTTATCAGATTGCATCAAGTACATTTACGTACCTTTTTACAATTGCAAAATATTAATATTCCTCTCATCTCCCACTTCGTGCATCACGAATCGTCTCGTGTACTACCCTAGTAGTACGATGAAGCACACGCGCCATCAGCCCATCGGGAACACGATCGAGGAAAGTAACCTTGTGAGACCATTACACGCGGATTAATTTAAGCCGCATTTTACGTACGTACGATATTCGCGCCGGGTGCGGGAGAGCGATGCGCCGCGGACGGGCCGGTCGCTAAAATAAAAATCACGTAAAGTAGATGCGCGCCTAATGAAGGGTTAGAACGGGCGGCGGGGTACAGTTACGCGATTAAAGCCTCGATGTCGAGTATATAACGACCTTCTTTCCGCCGCGGCGGCGTGTAACCTCAGCGATAAGAGGATACGCGCGTACTCTAAATTCCGTACGCCCTTCCTGGTAATACATCGGGGGGGAGCAATTTAGCGTATGGCTCGGCGCTTTCAACGTGAGGCAGAATTTTCCGAAGTTCACCGTCAATACTTTACGTGCCTGCGCGAACCGGTCATCTACGCTCCAACCACCTCGGCTCCGTCCACAATCTAGTCCAATTAAACGTTTTTCACCGCGCTTCATCGTCTGTCCAGTATTCGGTTTATCCGCCAGAACGTCTTTTTATCGTGCCAGAACCTGAGTCGTAAAACCATCGATTACACTCCACCGATAATGAGCAGTATCCTTTATTACTCGGCTCGATATATCCACGCAAGGCTCGTTTCAATCTCGCTAAAAACTACCGCGATCAGTCCGCCGAGCGCATTGACAGAAGCGATTAGTATCGCGCATCGCGATGAAGCCAGAAGTCGAAAGAAAACAACACTCGCTTGTCTCCGTTGATTAGTCCTCGATTATTCAATCTCAGATTGATATTTTCTTACGTAACAGTCGATCGTTCAGACACGATTGTTAAACGTTATTATTATTATTATTATTATTGTTTGCTATTTATCCGTTTTAGCTTATACATGGGAAGAACGATGGTTCTTTCAAAATCGATTTTACCGACGCATCTAAAAATTTTAAGCGCGATGAGCAATGTTGCAAAATGTTTTTTTTCACGTTCCAGCAATCAATTTAAACATTTCACATAATTATTTTGATGGTCCAACAAAATTATTTTCAGATTTGTATTTAGCTAAAAGTGTTAGATACTTTAACAAAACTATTCTTTCTGTATTTATCTGGTTTCCCAAATAGTTTTAACGTCTCTCCTAAAACCTAAGAACGGAAAAGCTGCCGGTCATACCCGATTTTATGATTCGCCTAACGTGAAGAGGAGGAAGACGTCTCTCGACAACAAGAAGAGGAACTATGTAGTTACGAACGGTGACAGGGTTGAAACGCAACATCTGCGCCTCCATCTGCACTTCTCACCGATCGGCAGCTGGCGGAAGGTGAAGGAGGGAAAAGGCCCCGCGGGGCTCCGAGGAAGACGTCGAACTTTGGCCCGCAAAAGGGCTACGCACGTCTCGGCGCGTGCACAATAAATCATTAAAAAGGCGTAGCCCGGAGTGACGCCGCGCCGCCGTTAATAAACGCGCCACCAAACTGTGAATTACGGCGGCCGTGAACGAGCGGGGGTTGCACTCGCGCCCCCTCTCCCCCTGTCGCGCTCTTTGTTTCGCATCAGCCTGTGACCGAGCTCCATTAAGCGACGGGGGATGATTTACCTTCCATTCCGTGAAACACGCACTCGCAGTTATTTATCCGCACGTTCATTACAGACCTCGATTATGACGTTTAACAAGACTGCATTAACTTTTAAGATCGTTATCTTCATTTTTATCACGAGAACATCTAAAGATAAGAGCACCTATGAGTACCTATCTTCTGATGATTATAACCTGACCTCGAATTTAGAGTAGAATATATAGCATGAATAGCCGTAAAATAATCAAAAATAATGATTTTTATCTTTAAGATTTTTTTATGTTTTTATACATTCCTTAATACATACTTAATAAATT